ACGGCGATTTGGTGAGAGATCACTGCCACGTCACCGGTAAGTATAGAGGCGCCGCTCACAACGCGTGCAACCTCAAGCTTAGAATCAACCCCAAGACAATAAACATCCCCGTGGTCTTCCACAACTTGAGAGGGTACGACTCTCACTTGATCATGCAGGCCATCGCGAAAGTCGCCGGCAACCTGACGTGCATCCCAAACAACTTTGAGAGATACATCTCCTTCAGCTTGACTGACTGACTGACTGAGTTTGGTTTTACGCCGCTTTTAGCAATATTCCAGCAACATCACGGCGGGGGACACCAGAAATGGGCTTAACACATTGTGCCCATGTGGGGATTCGAACCCGGGTCTTCGGCGTGACGAGCCAACGCTTTAACCATTAGGCTACCCCACCGCCCCCCTTCAGCTTGAAAGGCCTGAGGTTCATCGACTCGGTTCAGTTCCTCCTGTCGTCACTCGACAGTCTGGTCAAGGCCAACGATACCTTCCCCATCACCGACCGATACACCGACGCCGAGACTCGATCCCTGCTGATGAGGAAGGGTGTGTACCCCTACGAGTACATGGATGGCTGGGCCAAGTTCGCCGAGACCCGACTGCCTCCTATCAACCGATTTTACAGCAACCTGACTGACTCAACAATCACCCAAGATGATTACTCGCACGCGATTAACGTATGGAATAAACTGGGCTGTAAGAATCTGGGTGACTACCACGACCTGTACTTGAGAACAGACGTACTCCTGCTAGCCGACGTGTTCGAGACGTTTAGGAGGACGTGTTTTAAGCAGTATCAACTTGACCCCGCATGGTACTACACCAGCCCAGGTCTATCTTGGGATGCCTTGCCGAAGAAAACCGGAGTTAAGCTGGAATTGCTCACCGATTACAACATGCACCTGTTCATTGAGAAAGGCTTGCGAAGTGGGATCTCCATGGCTACCAAACGCTACGCAAAAGCCAATAATCAATACGTGAAGGGCTACGACTCGTGCAAGCCAACCAATTACATCTCTACCTCGATGCCAACAACCCGTACAGTTGGGCCATGAGCAGTATCTACCCACAGGGGGATTCGAATGGGTATCACCCGAGATCGATGTTATGAGCATCGCGCCGGATTCGAACAAAGGCTATATCCTCGAAGTGGACTCGGAATACCCCAAGGCATTGCACACATTGCACAACAGCTACCCCCTGGCCCCCGAACGTTTGAGGGTTAACCCAGACCGGATGTCCGAGTACTAACATAACTTGCTGGGTGGGCGGGTGGCAGACGTTGAAAAACTCGAGCCCAACTTAATGAATAAGACCAAGTACATCGTGCACTATCGCAACCTACAGCTGTACCTGTCGTTGGGTATGAGGTTGACCAAAATACACAAGGTGTTCGTGTTCGACCAGAGCCCCTGGATGGAGCCCTACATCAGAATGTACACGGACCTGCGAAAGCTGGCCACCAGTGACTTTGAGAAAAACCTCTACAAGCTCATGAACAACTCGGTGTTCGGTAAGACAATGGAGAACCTGAGGAAACGCGTGACCGTGAAGCTGGTTCGGTTGAAAGAGGAAGACAAGCTCAGGAAACTGATAGCCAGCCCGGCATTCTGATGGAGATTCAAACCGAGGATGTGTACGAGGACATGAAGAAACGCCTCGATTTGTATGACACTACCCCAAGGACCATGCCATACACAGCACGGTAAATAAAAAGGTCCTCGGTAAGATGAAGGGCGAGTGTGCTGGCACGCCCATAGCTGAGTACATAGGCTTGAGACCCAAGATGTACTCCATCCTGAAGGCCGACAATGGTGAGATCCGAAAGGCGAAGGCAGTTAAGAAGTACGTGGTGAAATAACACATCAAACACGCAAGATTCAAGGAAGCCCTGTTCAAGACCCGCACCTTCAGGCATCAAATGAACAAGCTTAGAAGCGACGGGCACAGGATATACGGACTGACTATAAACAAGACGTCCCTATCACCGATGGACACAAAGCGTTGGATAGCCATCGACGGGATCAACACGTATGCGTACGGGCATGAGAAAATTGAACCAAGAACATAGGTGTATATATGTCGGGATGTCACGGAACCAGAGAAAGTTTGAGGCTATTTACTACACCCCGCGTAGGTACTGGAAAGGAGCTAGCGCCGTACATAAGCTGGCCAAAATGGCGCGAGTACCCCCGGACGAAGCCAAAGCGTGGCTTGAAAAACAAGCCCTGTGGCAGATCTATTTACCGGCACCATGCTACGTGCCTAGAAGGAAGTTCGGTATTAACATACCCAATAGCACCCTCCAGGCCGACCTCCTGTTCCTACCCCACGACAAGAGGCACAAGTATGCCCTAACCGTCGTGGACGTGGCCAGCCGCTACAAGGAAGCTGGACCCTTGACCGCGAAAGACTCGGCCCAGGTAGCCCGCGGATTCGAACGCATATACAAACGCAGCCCGCTGACGTGGCCCACAGAGCTGCAAGTCGACCCCGGGCGGGAGTTCATGGGTGCCATGTCGCAACTGCTAGACAAGCACGGCGTCCAGGTCAGGCGTGGCGCGGCCGGAGCCCATCGCAGCCAAGCCATAGTTGAGAGATTCAATCGGTCTTTGGCCGAGCGCTTATTCGGGCATCAGTATGCGAGAGAGATGGCCAACCCAGGAAAACGATCGACGGAATGGGTAGCGCGGCTACCTCAGGTGGTGTCGGCTATCAACCACCAAACCACCCGTCTCACCGGCAAGAAACCAGCTGACGCTATCAAACTGAAATCAGTGGTAGCTGAGTCGGCTGCACCATCGCATGGGAAGGAGAAACAGATATCCGATAGGGCCCCCGTGAGGTACCTCTACCAGCCAAGGGAACACAAAGGGGACACTCGGAAACGAGCCACCGATCCGATATGGTCAGTCAAAACTTACAACATAGATAAAGTGGACATCAAAGCCGACGAGCCGAGCTTGTACTACTTGAGAGATGGGCCAGGGAGAGGTTTCGTCAGAGAGGAATTATTAGTCATACCGTACGGCACAATGATGACCCCCAAGCAAAATATTTAACACTTACCTTGCCGGGTAATCTTAATGGTATCCTGTCAACACGACATGTCACATGATCAGGAAAGTGCTAGATCGCAGTCATAGTGACACTATTGTGTCACGTGTGGCCGTGAAGTTAACTGGGGATTCAAAAGTAGTCTATACAATGGGGGCGAGATCTAAGGGCCTGACAAAATCTTTATTTGTGATATAAAGCTTTACAGAGGCTTTTGTTGGACTTGATCTTGGACCGCTATTGTATATACTACTGTGGTGGTGGTCCGATTAATTGAAATAATGGAAGATTGGTCGCAATGATCAAGCAATTGATTATGTTTTCTCATAATCAAACTCAAAAACAATTTTGGAACACTTGTTTGCATTAACAATATTTTTCACAAGGTTGGTTTTGTCTGTTATATTTCATAAACGCTACAAGCTTGTTCCAAGTCATGATTGAATTTTTCTTAAAGACTTCTAGAAGTTTATGTTCCTAACCTACTAGTCATCCATGAAAGATGTGAAATTTGCAAATGTATGTTGTGCAATTTGCAGAAAAAACCCAAAGAACTACATGTTTTTTCTTTATAATTTTTGCGTTAACAAACATAACCAGGAAAATTTGAGTGAATTGAGTGAGTGAGTTATTATTTAGCGTCACATCGGCAATATTTCAGCCATATCATGATAAGCGTTGTGATGAACCAATCATCAGTTATGAGATTTTAACCAATTCCCAACACTTAGTTAGTACTCAGTGTATCAGGGCATGGTGTCATGCCACAGATGACATCCTTACTTTGTCAGCATGGTGATGGGGTTGATTTCTTTGGTAATGTTGACATTAGGCATCTGACTTTGGATCAGAAGGTCCATGGTTGGAATCCCGAAAAAGGACTTTGGAAATTTTATGTCAGCTACATCAAGAATGGGATCAAGAATGCTTTAGCAAACTTCCAAAGTTTCATTAATGACATTACATCCATTACATAGTGTTCAAGCCTAAAGCAGTGATATCATTAATCATTCCATGGAGTGGTATGATCTGTGCCTTCTCACCGAACCTAAGTTGATCGTAAATTTAGCAAACATTTAAACCATCATCATCTCCTGAATGTCTTTCTAAACCAGACAATTTCTTGACATTGACCAAAAGTAAATGTTATACAACTGTATTTTAAAACTAACTAAGTTTACAAGTAAATACAAATTACATCAAAGAAATTACAATGGCAGGACAAAAATAGAGAAGCAGTGCAAATATAATATATCAAGAGTGATTATAGCTATACAATGATGAAACTATTCACCTCACAGCCAGAATGGTGAGGCTTCCAAAACAGGCCTTGGCTGGGAATCCAAAGGAAAAAGTGATCTTCACACACTGCTAGTGCTATGCTTGATAAGATCATATAAGCAGGATGGCCTTCAAAGCATAGCACATTTCCTTTTGGAACATTCTGTAACATGCTGGGTTAAACCATGCTGTATCATCCCAGCTGTTCCAGAAGGTTCTAGGTTAGTCTTGACTCCCACCCTAAATATAGGAATTACCACACCATTGCCCTCCACTGAATCCTAACTAAAACAATGTTATAGAATTACAACACTGTTTCGTAATAAATAAACCTGCTACATAATACTTATAATTAATATCTCTCACAAGGACCTTAACTCCTGAAACACAAATTTTGAAACGGTGTACAATAACTTACTTCTACATATTTGTAACTGATGATTATGTATTGGCAATGGTGGTTGTGGGCCAACTTTGGATTTTAAAGACCCTATCTCTGTAATGCTGAACGTCCTTGAAACCTAATTTTAAGATTACACATATTACAGATCACTGGCATTGTGGTTTCAGAGAATCTGCAGAAATAGCTGCCATATACAAAGAAAAATTCCTTAACCACTTTTAAGTTGTTCAAACAAGATGAACCAGTAACACAAAACTTACACTTCAGCTTTTGGAGGCTCCAGGTCTTCATCTTCAACCTCAAAAAATGAAAAGACATCCTCACACTGAGAAATTTGTTCCGGAAGGTCAATTAGTATCTGCAAGAGATAACACATTAAGCTGATCAACATCACATGAGTACAAAGAACATGAAAGTGTCCTTCCTTGCTGTAACGTCATTAAGGGATACCATAGGTTCTGATTGTCATCTTAAGGCCTTACAGTAATTGTAGTGCTAAGATTGTTTGTGCAAGTGGACCCTGAACTATAAACACATCTAAGTCAGACCTCTGAGATGACATTTGAAAGAGGAGACACAAAAGGTAAAATATAGTTGCAGGCAACGATGAGGTCTCCTTGGCTTTACTTTCTATCTATTGTATCTGCGGGGTAGATATCATCGTCCAAAACGGAGCCAGAACACATGTTTTGACAGGCGAGCGGATCTTCCAAATACAGCCGGGGTCACGGGGGTCATGTACCTTTCAAGTAGTTCCGGAGGAGAAAAAGTTCCCTCTTTAAAAGGCTGTATCTCAGTTGTTCTTGGGTCTACATTCAAAACAATTAGTGTTCTCGAATCACCAGGACATCATCTACCATACTGGCATAATTTGCACATTTTGGGAGCAAACTACTCAGAAAAGTACTGATAAACATGGCCAAAAACTGAAAACAAAAATAACTGCCAAACGGTACGTTTTAGCGACTTGACCCGTCCAGGCAAAATTGTTGGGAATTCGATTGTGCATCTGTACAAGACATTTGGAAGTGTTGGAACAATTAGTTCTTGAGATATTTGCTGTCAAGAGCAATTGCTATTGGGCCAAGAGCCTAGAGATTTTTAAGGGGAATATCTACACCTCGGTGCGCATCTGTGTGATTTTTTGTAAGTGATTCGGAGCATTGGTTTAGGAGTTATGTTTGGTACAAAAATCAGCGGAATAATAAATAATAATAATAATAATAATAATAAATATAGCTGCGAGCAGCGATATAGGGCTCCTTGGCTTTACTTCTTTGGAGCCTTTTGCATCTCTCACATATCTCATGAATGTAGTAATGGTATTAGTTAATATGAATCATATCACTGCTAGTCGAATGCTCTTCGACTGGAAGTACTGGGAGGTCATTAAGTTTCGATAAACTCATCACAAAACCTATTTTCGTACATTAAATAATATCACTTAGGTATCATGAATATCAAAACAGAAGAACCCTTTGTTCAAACAGTCAGAGAAACAGAAAATGTTGTGGCCTCAACTATATAATTTGAAAGGTTCACTGTGACTGACATTATGTGAATCTAAATGTACGTCACATGTAGCTGACAAGTCGTGATGACTCGATTATTTACAGACCAGCGGACATACAGCTTGAATATTGCTGAGTGTGGCGTAAAACTAAACTCACTCACACTCACGCTCACGCAAGTGAACTTGTGATTACACAGCAGTTAAGATACTTCAGTAGTTTTGCATCAGTATCCATTACACTGTTACACTCGATCTGTTGCAACTGAATTCGTGAATCGAGAGCAGGTATATATACTGGAAATACACCTAAACTCGATACAGGTCACCTATGAAGTTTTAAAATCCATGCAAACAGCATCAATTGTTAGCAAAGCGCATTACTCTTCGGGCATTGCAAAGTCGGCGCCAGGTCGTTGTTGAACGATTTTACTAGCGCTTACTTCAGCTAGACCAGAGTTTCCCCTTAGACCACAGCTACAACTTTTACCCTGACCCGAACGCTCAATCATTGACAATCTTTAAATACTGCCTAAAGACATACCCCTTACAAAGATTGAATTACAATGAAGGAATAGCACCTCTACTGCAGTGTATTTTAATTTTGTGTAGCGCTAGCTCGCCATTGTCAATTGAAATTTACATCGCCTCCCATGCGTGGACCACGCTTTGCAGTGGTAGTCTCTTTATAGGAGATATCGCCCTTGCGCCTTCCTTCAGACTGTCGCGATGCTTTGCACGGGTAATCTGCCGTGCCGTAAATGTCGATGAAACTTATGACACATTCGGCAATGTATCCCTGGGCCGTCGGTGATATAAAAGAAGTCCCTATTTCGTTAAATCTGCCCAAACTTTGGGTTTTGAATGTAAGCATTATTTATGATGACTGGTATGCGTTGTTGGAAGACTTTTTGCGTGACGCCGCGTGTTCTGCCTGGAGTTGAGGGTCAGTTTGTTTGGCACTCTTTTTCTTTCATTTGGGGCACGTCTCAAACAGTTTTTTTCCCTTTTAGCTCCCATACGTTTTATCCACATGGATAATGTTGAACAGATGTTTTTGATCAGTAAATTTTATGGCGTTCTTCAAAGTTTGAAAGCCGTAGCGCTTGCAGGGTCTTTTGACATAGGACCAAGAACAGAAAATGTTCAACAACCAAAGGCAACTTCAGAACAAGCGTTTAAAGTGTTGGCACCAAATGGCAAAGTAGCCCGTGAAAGTTTTTGAAGACAACTTTTGCCCAAAAGTAGCGTCCAATATGGCGGCCATCATATAAACATAGGCACATTTGATGATGCTACTGTGTAGAAACATGCATAGACACAAAGTATGCAACGTTTGAAAGCCGTAGCCCTTGTAGTTTTAGTGCAGCACATTTTGGGAGGTATGCAGTCAGGATTTTGCTGAAAAACATCAACAAAAACTTCAATCCCAAATAGCGTCCAAACGGTGCATTTTAGCGACTTGAGCCGTCCAGGCGAAATTGTAGGCATTTTGATTGCGCATCTGCTCAAGAACTTTGGCACACATTGGAGCATTAGTTTTGGAGATATTTGCATTTGAAATTGAAATTTTTGAATTAATTTTGAATTATCTGCCCTTTGCTATTGGGCCTACAGCCTAGAGATTTTAAAGCGCGATATCTACACCTCGGTGGGCATCTGGGTGATTTTTGTCAAGGCATTCTGTCCAGCGGTGCTCTCTGTAGCGGCGGAAGAATAAATAATAATAATAATAATAATAATAATAATAATAATAATAAAACACGAACGATTACAATAGGTCTCCTGCCTAAAGGCAAAGGAGCCCTAATAATAATAATAATCCGAACGATTACAATAGGTCTCCTGCCTAGAGGCAAGGAGCCCTAATTATCCATTAATATGTTGTTGCTAGGTCATATTGTGACGGGGGCAGTGGGGTAGACTACTGATTAAATTGTTCGGTTGGTCACACCAAAGGCCTGGGTTTGATTCCCCACATGGGTACAATATCTGAAGTCCATTTCGGGTGTCCCCCGCCATGATATTGCTGCAACATTGCTAACAGTGGCGTAAAACCATACTCACTCATTCACTCACTCACTCACTCATATTGTGACAGCATGTTGGCATAGCCCTTAGTTTTGTGATCTTTCTTGTGTCATATCAGAGCATTGAAGCATCTGTAGATAAAATGGACAGATGCCATACTTCATGAATTTCATTTATTTTCAACAATGGTTCATCTAACAACTTTTAAACATTATCAATTTTTTTGTTCTGTTTGCAGAAACTTATCAAATGTAAAATAAACAAGTTACTGTATCCTGCAAGTCTCTCGGATAGTTGAAATGAAGTGATGAGGGTCAAAAAAGAGAAATACAGTAAAAGTTAATTAACACTGATCTCCATAGAATTGTTGGATTCACTGACATCCTCTATCATACCTGCGATCACTTTCAATCTGACATTGGTAACATCGTGTGGATGATACAATCTATCTGAGACTATTACCATGGGATAGTCACAACTAACTTCTTTATACAAACGTCTAAGTTCTCATTGGCCAACAGATTGACAGAGGATGACTTCTAAATAACATGGGCTAATGAATCAATATTGCAAACAGTTCTTTTGTCAGAATAGTATGTTATAGTCTTTCCACTCTTCTGTTCACTCACATACATACAGTTGGGCTGTGCCTAAGTTCACTTGTAACTTTGTGCACAGCATGAATAATGTCCAGTTTGCCTAAATGCAGATTTTAAGCCTTAACTCATTAAGGCCGAGAGACGCACATGGGCGACAAATTAATTAATTCCTCAGAGCAAGAGACACACATGTGCAACAACAGAAAGCACCTCTTATTCAGCAAGAGACGCACATGTGCAACAACAGAAAGCACCTCTTATTCAGCAAGAGACACACATGTGCAACAACAGAGACCACCTCTTATTCAGTGAGAGACGCACATGTGTGTCATACTTTTAAAAAGCACACTGTACCTATTATTCCAACCAATTTAGTAGTACTGAGCAAATATTAGCTTTTCTTACGAGAGATGCAACCTTTAGTGTCAATCAGAAGAAGTACACTACAAAAATGACTTGGTTTCCTGAAATCTGGTAGATTATCCATATACTGGGTAAATGGGGAATCCAGTTGGTTTCCATTCACTGAAACTGAGTAACTGAGTTTCCAACTAGATTCCATTTTGGATTCTTTGATTTTTGCATTTTAGTAAATGGAAACCAACAAGAAACTAAGGTTATAGGTTTCTTGTTGGTTTCCATTCCTGGAATTTGCAATTGAAGGTTTCATGAAATGGAAACCAACATAAAACCAGAAAATGTAGTTTCATGTTGGTTTCCTGTGCACTGTTTTGAACTGAGTAACTTAAAATTTGCAAGTATTTGGCATGAAGTTGACCATCCTGGCATCCAGTTGGTATCCATTCATTGAAACTGGGTAACCTAGTTTCCTAATAGAATCCATAATGGATACTGTAAACTTATAGTTCGGTAATGGAAACCAACAAGAAACTATGGTCATGTGTATACTGTTGGTTTCCATTCCTGAAACTTAGTTTCAAGATTAACTACTTTCATATCATATTACATTATCAGTAATTGCATGTAGAATAATTATGAGGTCTTAAAATTCAAAATGAATATGCCTGGGGAAGGAACAGCAGATTTACATTTGAAAGAGCACGTAATTTGTAAGATTGCTTAGATGAACAAGAAGAAAGGTTACCCCAAATAGTTGTTGACGCATTGGTTAACTTTATATTTACCTGTTTTGTTGAACCAAGATGTTGAGTGTGTGGAAAGAACTGATATTGTGGGACACCAAATCACTATACTGTT